GAGAGAGAGAGAGAGAGAGAGAAGGAATTTACAACAATATCTATAGCTAAATATATTTTATATTATTGGATCTTAATAATGCGTAGAACAATCTCTTATAAACCTCAATTTCTTATAAACCTAATTGATATAGTTTTGAATTTGTATTATATATATATATACAGAATGTCCTGTCATAAGTGGCAGGACTACTTTTTATCTTTTAAATTAAAAGACATAGCAAAAGACCATAACAAATATGTAAAATTAAATGGCTCAAATTGAACTCTAATCTGAGTATAGTTGTTGTTTACAAAGCTACGTTAAAGAACGAGAAGAGGTATGCATAATTTGTTTATAATAATGTGGATATTTCGATATAATAAAAATTATAAAAATTACAGCGTTATTCAGAAAGAATACAACGATGTAATTATTTGTTATAATTATTTCATAAATTATAGGAATTTTATAGATTTGAAATATTGACGTCTACTTTTTCATTTTCAGCTCTGCGATATGACCAACTGCAGTATGATCAAGTGACAATATGACATATGTCGCCCTTTAATGCAGAAATTGGAAGTTGACCATATCGCAGAACCGAAAATGAAAATGTTAAACATCGCCTGTGATTTCAAAGCCATAAAATTCGTGCAATTTATGAAATAATTACGTTAAATCATAATCATTGTATTCGCTTTGAATAACGCTGCAACTTTTATTATATCGAAATATCCACATTATTATAAACAAATTATGCATACCTCTTCTCGTTCTTTAACGTAGCTTTGTAAACAACAACTATACTCAGATTAGAGTTCAATTTGAGCCATTTAATTTTACATATTTGTTATGGTCTTTTGCTATGTCTTTTAATTTAAAAGATAAAAAGTAGTCCTGCCACTTACCCTAGGACATTCTGTATATATATATATATATATATATATAATAGTATTCTTTCCGCTTATTGTTAACAGACCTGAACATGTGGCGAATGCTATCGTGGAATTAATCGAAAAGGGAGAGAACGGCGCGGTCTTCGTCAGCGAAAACAATCAACCTGCACATGCTGTGCAATTACCGTCTTACACCGATCTGAAAGTTTCAGTGTAAAACTTGCAATTTCCACGGCGGATCATTTTTGGTACACAAATACTGGCATCATAATTTTTCACGATCCGTAATAATGATTAATTATCTTGTGTATTGGAATTATACAAACAAATTTATGCTTTTTTCATTGCGACGTGAAGTTTTCAATCATTAAAAATTAACTTGCATTGGATTGCAATTTTCCTTCAGAGATAAAATTTATTTATTAGATTTTTCTCTCTTTCTGTATGTATAATTAAAATATAAATTTTAACTCGTAGCTGTGAGAAGTTGAAAAATATAATGATAATGTTTAATCGTTTATTTCGATAAATATAATTATGTTTATTGAATAATGTTAAGAGAAGCATATTGTAGAACTTTATTTGCTCTTTCGAAAAGTTCGAACTGCAAGCAGATTCTTATCGCTTGCATTTCGTCGAAACTCGAATTAGCAGTAGATATATAATAAACAATATTAAAAAATAGACTTCTGTAATAACTAATTAAATATTCAAATATTTAACTAAAATAGTGTGGTAATGACAGATATAATAACAGCTAATAATAGGTATATCTATTTTGTTATTTCATAAAAGTAAATATAATAAATGACGGCAACTATAACGAATCTTTTTCCTTCATTATTTAACAAAACTAACAAGTTAATTTTTTTTTTAACTAAGTTAAGTTTAAAGTTAATAACTCAAAAATTAACTAAGTTTAAAAGTTACTTAAGCAAAAATTATTTTAGTTAAAGTTAAGTTAAAAAATTATTAACTCATTATTAAAGTTAAAAGTTTTTTCTCTATTCAACACAGCGAATCGACACATCCGACAAACTTGTTGTACAACAAATGAAATATTATTCGCATATTATGATCAATCATTTTCACACGATTTTAATATTGATAAATTATTTTAACTTATATAAAAGAAGTTAATTAGTTATTGTTAATGTATTTAAAAATAACTAGTTTAAGTTAAAAGTTAAAATGTTTAAAATTAAATAAGTTAAGTTGAGTTATTAACTTTTCAACCTTTTAATTTAACTTTTAACTGTTTAATTATATATAGTTATATGATCATATTAGACATATATATCTAATATTATTATTGTTATTTTATAAATGTAAATAAATGTCGGCAATTATAACGAATTTTTTTCCTTCTAACAAAACTAACAAGTCATGACATGTGAAAAGAAAATGAATGACAAATATAATTAGAAATACATAAAGTATAATGATGCATAATTTGAGAAGTGTACAATATATCCCAGACAGCACAAAACGTCCTCAGGATCATCCTGAATATGTCCAGGATGGTTCAGGATATTTGTAGGATGTTTTAAGATATTATTATAAATATATTTTATGAAAATTTAATATGCATACATGATTACTTTCGGTTATGTAGGCTATTTAATATAATTTAGAAATTTTAAGTATTGTAATAAGTATTAATGTCCTATAAATGTCCATTGGATAACCCCTGGATGTCTGTAGGATACCTGCCCTGTCTATTATATTGAATGTCCTTTGGATTTCCAGAGGACATATACATGTGCAATTAACTGTTAACATTAATTTCGTTTAATATTAATAATTGAATTTGATGCGCACATTTTCACATATTCAAAATTATTATTTATTTAATAATTTATGAGAAATGTTACTATGCGCAACATTCCAAAAACTTTACAAAAAATAGTATTCAACCGCTAGTTAGTTTGTTTACCGCTATGCGAAGCGCAAACTCGTATTTGAGATTTGGTCATGAGAATTATATAAAGCTTGCAAAGAGCAACTAACAGGAAATTAAAAATATAATTATTTTTTATCAGTTCAATTTCTGATGCAATCCAAACATAAGGAAGTCAGATATTGGATTGTTTTGAAAATATTACACGACTCAAACCCGGAAGCCAAACCTAAAATATTCATGTACAGCACGAAAACCTCAAATATTAAAGAACGTGAACTATTTTTAGTATTAGATTTTTAGTATTGGCAGTAAATAACAGAACGCAATCTTAATTTATATTTAAATTTTAGAATTTGTTCCTTTTAACGTATGAAAAATATCCCTAACATATCCTATAGAAATCCTTAAGATGTTCCACAGGATCTCCCTGGATTCTCCAGAGGCTAGTGTACGGCTATCATTTACTCTTCCTCAGGACATCCAGAGGAGATCCGAGGATTAAAATAGGATATCCTCAGGATATCCTACATGTATGTCCTGGATGCCCTTTGGACGTCCTAAGGACATCCTTGTGCTGTCTGGGATATATATATAGATTATAGATCGATATTTGTGCATTTATGATTGAAAACTGCGTCCGATTGTTTTGACAGCTGTAAGTATTCGACGCGAGAGATTAAACGCAAAGTTAAAAGATAAAAAATCGCACACCGATTATGCAATATTTAATAATAATCTAAAAAAAAGGAAGAAAAAGATTTTGAATATTTTAATGTCGACGATCACATGATGCACGAGTATCCAAATATGATACATTCGATCTGGAAGTACTTATTTAACTTGAAATGTGCGAACACGCATCAATAGATGGTTTGTAGTGCAAACGAAAGGAAGAGTGCATCTCTGAGTGAATAAAATTCTGAATAAATTTGATTTCTCGTACGCCGTGCATTCGTTATTTCCGTTATTACTTCCTACGGTTTGATTTGTATACCTACCGTGTGCAAGGGTGCGTTTAAAAATCCTACCCGTGGTGTAGAGTAACGTTTAATCGACCAATCAGGACAAAGATTTCTTCGTCCTGATTGGTCAATTTGAAGCTACTCTACCCCACGAGTAAGATTTCCGAACTCACTCTAGAATATACACAGTGACGTCACGCACTGCCGCCAGCCTCACATCAAAATGGCCGCATTTTAGTCTACAGAGTACTTTTCTTTACTGTTTGCCAATAGCCGTGCCGAGGGCCTGGCGGTGTTCTCATATAACTGTCGTGACCGATCTGTTTCGCCGGAAATTTCGCTGCGTCCTGCATCGCGCCCTAAATTTTCGTGAAATAGAACGAGCGTAATAGGGTAAGGATAAAGGGCGAGAGAAGAGCGTGTCGGCGTTCGGCGGGTTCCCACGAGTTCCGTACAGATCGCCCTCGTCGTCGCCGCCACCGCTGGCGGCCAAGCCCATTTTCTTCAATAACGAATTTTATTTATAGGCGGAATCTCGCGGCGTACGAAATCGCACGCGGCCGCGAAATCGTGTCTCCCGTTGTAACCCGCTTATTTTACCGGCTCGCCCTTCTCGCTGAAAGGTTATATCATCTTCCTATATATCGAAGTCAATCGGATTATCCACGCCCGCTGTCAATCACTTTGTGCGCGCATAAGATTTTGTTTTAATGCGTGAAACTCTCTGAAACCTCTGTCTGTGCGAAAAAAGGAAAGATATTGCGCGTACAATAGAAATTCATTTTGGAGTAAAGCTCTTTTTAGGATAGACGTGAAAGCTCGATCCTCTTTTCGCACAAGCAATGCTATTCATAGACTATTTGTAAATTGTTTATTTATTAATAATGATAAAAGAGAATTCATAATTTTACCCTCTGTCACTAATTAGCAAGATAGCAGAAGAACTGTGTTTGTAGTCTGCTGATTGCTGTGTGCGAGAACTCATTAGAAGACAAATGTATTTTAATTTGATGCGAAAACTTTTAATCTCTTATTAACTGATTTTTTATAGCACAGATGTAAGAATTTTTTTTAAGAATGTATGTGCGCAATATAAATTTTTACTTGTTTAAAATGTATATTGAAACTAGAGTAATAATAATAGAGTAGTAATAATTTTTTTTGTTTTACAGATTTTTCTGTGTATTTTTTCATAAGATGTTACGTCATCAACATCACGCAATGCAGAATCAACTACGGGATCATAATAGGTTAATATTAAATCAATGTTTATATTACACTAATTTGTCCAAAACATAATAAATATTTATATAAATTATTCATAAATTGACTAAGAAATTTCTTAATGAGTTTATTTAATGATTTGATGATAAGTCACATCAATCTCTATACAGAACAGAAATTGTTGATAAGTCATTATACTGATCTTTTATAGTGAATGTGTATGATGATAATCACTGCGATATTTCTTTATTTTGAAAAGATTAAATATCCTCGTATAGATTATAGATGTAATAATAATTACTTGTTTATAAATCTGTAGACAGAGTTAATATCATAAATATGAAGTATTTAGTAAGATTATTATTTATTGATATTAATTACAATAAAACAAAAATGATGTTTCTAGAATGGCAGGATCGATGCGGCCTATGCAGCAGGCTAACATGACCCAGTTACATCAGCCGCAGCATCTGCTGCCGCATCGAAATCCTCATCAACCGATACTGTCCATGCCCCCCCATCAACAGCATATGCATCACATGCAGCACCCTGGCCCGCCGCATGGAAATCCGAGGCAGCCGATGTTGATGGGTATGAATACGCACAATACAAACAGTAAGCATAGATATATTGTGAGATTTAATCCTCATTCTTGATTATTAATGCAAAAATTAATTCAAAATGTTTACTTTAGATACTATGGTTAGCGTTAGCATGAAGGACCAAACAAATACAGTTTCTGTGACTCTTCAAAATGTACAACAACCTCAGTATCAACACCAGCAGTCGCAACAACAGCAGCAGCAATCGAATAACCAACAGAATCAGTCTGTCCAACAGCCACAACCGCAGCAGCAAGTGCAACAATCACAGCAGCAGCAACAACAGCCGCAACACATGCCGCAGCAATCGAACATAGAACAATCAAAGGCGATAACAAATGACAGCAATGGAGAGTCCAGAGACGATAATTCGTCCAATCAGAATCATGCCAACGCGACTAATCCAGCCTTGGCAAACATGAAAGAAAAAACACCCATGTGCTTGTTGAATGAGTTAGCCAGATTCAATAGGATTCAACATCAGTATAGGTTGACCAACGAGCAGGGACCGGCGCACAAGAAGAGATTCACAGTGACATTGAAACTCGGCGAGGAGGAATACGTCGCGGAAGGTCCTAGCATAAAGAAGGCTCAACACAGCGCGGCGACCGAGGCCTTAACAAAAACGTGGTATCGTCAACCTCCGCCTAAACCCACCAAGGCCATGAGAATCGGCCATCTGGGCAAATGCCCGACAGGTTCTGGTAATTTCATGTTACGATTTTTATACGTACTGCAGTTGTACAATAATATTGATTTGTGACGTTATCTTTTTCAGTTTTAATTTTAATTATGTAGTTATTGTGTTATTATTATTGTACAGTAACACTATTTTGTATTACAGGACATTTACCACCAACCGTTGAACTGAACGCTCTAGCAATGAAACGAGGTGAACCAACTGTTTATACGTTCCGACAAGCTCCGCCGGCTACATTACAGCATCAATTTATGCCGCCCAATTTTAATAACTTCCCGCGAATGTACAATCCTCGAATCCCATACAATCGCGGAGTTCACACGGATCTTCAAGGATTGTATCTCGTTACGCTCAAGGTTGGTGAACGCGAATTTACGGGTAGAGGTCTGACAGGCCAAGCGGCACGTCACGATGCGGCCAGTAGAGCTTTGGAACAACTGCGACAATTGCCTTTACCGGAAGAAATCACAAGCGTCAGCAACACTAATGAGAATGGTACGCTGAACGGTATCGATGATCCAAACGCCGAGTTGAAAAGTCCGGTGTCACTAGTTCACGAAACCGCTCTGAAACGTGGATTATCAGTCAGCTTCGAAGTTGTATCTGAGAGTGGTAAACCTCACATAAGAACTTTCATGACGAAATGCACCGTTGGTGACAAAGTCACTGTGGGAGAAGGATCCTCAAAAAAAGTAATATTTTATATTTTTTTGACAGAAAAAAAAGTATATGTAATTTCTAATACTCGTGCTTCTCTGTCTCGTCACAGGTGTCGAAGAAACGCGCTGCCGAGTTGATGTTAGAAGAATTGAAACGTCTTCCTCCTTTACCGGCTACAATACAGAATCGATCGATGCGAGTAAAACGTAAGCCACCAGCAACGAAAAAGAAATCGCGTAATTTAATCAAGGTTTACCAGGAGCCCCGTTCAGAGAGTGAAGCCGCTGAGGAAGTCAATCCGGTCTCCCGGCTAGTTCAAATTCAGCAGGCGAAACGTGAAAGAGAACCGGTCTACAATCTGATAGACGAGAAGGGCGCGCCAAGACGCAGAGAGTTTGTCATGGAAGTGACGATGGGTCAACACTCCGCGCAGGGAATTGGACCTAATAAGAAATTAGCTAAAAGAGCCGCAGCTGAGGCTCTCTTGGCGCAATTAGGATATAGCAAACCGTCGCCACAACCCGCGAAACCATCTATAAAGACGGGAGAAAGCGAGAACACGGAGTCAAAACCCAGAAAAGTGACGTTTCTCGAAGACGAACAAGTGAATGACACTCAACCTCACTCGGTAGGAGGTAAGAAAAAAGAACGTAGCTCATTTGGCTATGTTCAGTAAATTTTATAAATTTATTTATTTATTTATTGTTATTAGGTACCATAGGCCGCCAATTAGTACCTGGTCTTTTATTGGTGGACGGAGGTCAAGAATCTAAATTGGGAAATGGACCCAGTGTACAAATAGTTGCTGAAGAATTGCGTGGACAACAACAGAATGCGGCTGGTGTTTCGCCCAAAGATCAATTACATTATTTAGCTCAGTTATTTAATTTTACCGTAGAATTCAGCGATTTTCCCAAGGTAATTATCGCGATTATTTAATCTGCACTAAAATAAAAAAATTAAAGTTTTAATTAATCAAAAAGAGATGAAAAGTATATAAACGAGAAATGATACAGTATTAATATATATTGTGAAAATAGATAGTTATCTTCCCCAACTAATGTTCCAGGGAGTATCCATAAACAAGGAATATTTATCACTTGTGTCACTAAGTACTGATCCACCACAAGTTTGTCACGGTAATGGGGCGACAATAGCCGCGAGCCGCAATCAGGCGGCGCTAAGGGCACTCCGTACCCTCAGTAAATTAGGACTTGACAATGCCTCGAACGCAGCGCAAGTGAAGAAAGACAAAGGTGCGTCTGGTGATGGAATACACATTAGCATTCAAGTTAAAAATAACATGGATGGAGCTATTGATAAGTAACCAAATAGCTTAAGACTTATATATGATGTTGAGTTATATTTCTGCTTCTTTAAGACATTGCAGAAGAAAGTTAACTATCATAGTTATAAAAATCTCCACAAAATTGATGTTTGATATTCTTCATTCATTGCTTTCATTACCATTCTTCATTCATTTTCATTTGCAGAAAATATATTGTTGCTTCATCTAGATTTTTATCCATTCTTGTGGAAGCTTTGTTTTTTATATTGAATCTTTCTATATTACCCTGTATAATAATATGATTGTAATTGTAAAAATGCGTTTATCTACTAGAAAAAGTTGGTTAAAGATTTAAAGCACATTGCATGATTTAGATATTTTTATTTTATGTATTTATATGGCTGGATTGCTTATTTTTCATATTGCTGAGTACTATAAAAAATCGAACAGAAACAAATTTTAATCAATTTATATACAATTATCTGTAAATTAATTATCAGCATGTATTATATTATGTAAAACTTCTGTTCTAATCTTTTGCAGTGTCTTAATTACATTGAAATGCCGTTCAAGCACCAATAAGCGAGTATTTAATAATAATGCAAGAATTCTTTTATTTTTAATGTATAAGAATGTCTGATTAGTTACAGTAGGCGAAGCCAAAAGAACATCTGTGACTATCAGAAATATTATTATAGAAAATATTAGTGTGTTGAATGATACGTATATTACAATGACTCTTGCAAAATTAATAGTACTTTGGAATCATAAGAAATATTATTGGTGCTTGATCACACATGATTGCGATCCTAGCAGTGACAGCTATAACTGCTATATTTATTGTAACATTTTCATTGACAGGATCACAATTGCGATATACTTATCTATGATAATTCAAAATGGTCATTTTCCAGTCTTGGTCTATGATCATATGAACACTGTAGAGAAACGAAGTCACACGACCTGGAGATGAAATGCGACCATCTCTTAATTTCTCAATCAAATTCCTCGGCTTTCTCATTATCATGAATAAAGAGAGCTATGTCTTGTTACCTAATACACAAATTAACAATCGTAACAATGTTTTTTTTTTCTTTTTTTTATATTTCTATCCTCAATTATCCGGAATTGCTTATTTTATGGTGTATGTTTTTTTTGTTTTATCGAACAAAACAAATTAAAACCTTATTCAGTCGCATACGAAAATTATACATAAAATCATGTCTTTTTCCAGAGCAAACTCTGGCTACGTGTGCCAGAGACATGTGCTGATTAAACATTTTAATGAAATATTAAGTATCTAAACTTTAAATTGGTAAAACATAGGTAATGGGATATATACTGTCCCTATGCCCCAATTTGCTTTTCTATAGGGGCCAGAAGCATCCTGGGGTTATATATTCATGTATCACGAAATATTGAGAAGTGAAGAGAATAGAAATTTTCCATGCATCTACCATTCAGAGATAGAAAATAATGATAGGCTGCATCGGAAATTTCGGAGAACGTAAAAAGATAATAATTAAAAATTTGTCCCGTTGCGTCAAGACCATTACAAAATTGTTTTAATCTCGCTAAGAAACAATCCGAAAAACAGCTGTGAATTTTGTCTGGTTGAGAAACAAAGGGAATAAAGAAATTTCCATACACATTTATCGTTCGCAGATAAATAGTAATGATAAACTGTATAGGAAATTTCATCGAATCTAAGGAGAAAAAAAAAAGAGGAGATAATCCAAAACTTGTCCCGTTACGCATCAGGATTATATTACAAAATTATTTTAATTTTGCTAAGAAATAATCCTGAAACAATGGCAAATTTTGCGTTATTGCCGAGTAAAAGCAGTAAAGTGGAAGAAACTTAATGAATGAAGATAAACATTGAGAAACGGTACAAACTTTGAATATTCGTGTAATTTTTACTTAAGTTCCGTATATTCAAAATTAAGTTTTCTATATTTTGCGCAAAATACAAACGCTGCCTTTTGCTATTTTGACGATGTAATGATGCAGAGTTTTGTACCGGCGTTCTCAATCGAGTAACTGCTGTCTTCTATTCATTATTCGTATTAAATTGGATTTATTGAACAAGAAATACAAGCGGCTAAGTAAATTGTATTATTGTTCATTAAATTCGTACGCTATTCGTAATGCCCGATGTTCGGTATATTGAGAATTTGTAACAAGTGTTTTTGCGACGATTGACCTACCGAAATTAACGCGAGTTACATTCGATCAATTCGAAGATAATTTAAAAGACATTCGCTGAAAATTATTTATTGATTTTTCGAGATGCTAGTTGGATTTTTGTCTGATCGCTTTTATAAGTGGGCCTTTCTTGTTCATGTCACGATTCAGTATTACGAGACACAGTGGTAGATTCCATTATGTATAATTTTTCGAGAGAGACAAACAGAAAGAGAGGAGAATTGAATAACTTGCGTCATGTACGCTGCAAGAAGAACAATTTTATGCATATAAACTGTAATAACATATAGTTAATATTAATGATAGATAAGCGAATAAGGTATCAATTTACCGAGGTACCGGAAAAGGGAATCAACACTTTAAGGAGAACCCGCTAATACTAAGAAATCAACTTAGCATACTGTCGGGCTTGATTCGTAAAGTGTTAAAGAAATACTAGCCGATGCATCGATATTGGCTAGAAGAAGGAGAAGAATAATTGTGGAACATAAGTTTTATGGATGATCCATACTGCGTTCTGTAATTTCATTTCAATACAGTCACACATACATAAATGCTGCGAAACATTTGCTTACTATTGATTAGAAAACTATTTTTTTTTAAATTACTATCACTTTGGTAAAATATGTTGTATTCTCGCAATTTTTCACTTAGTTGACTGGATGAATACCGAGCGCAAAATAAAAGAAGTATACTCGATACCATAATATAGTTTAATTATGTTAGATTTATATCTAAGTGATTTGAGTTTCGTATACTGTAACAAAATACAGTTACATAATGCGAGTTTTCAACAGCCTACATATTGAAAATAATTGCTTCTTGAATACGTAAGTCGTAAGAGTCGAAAAGATTCTTCATACCGACAAAGCTTTAATTGCATTTCGAAAATGAATTATACGATGTATAGGAATCTACTGCTTTTCTTCATCAGCATCAGTTTGTATTTGACGTTGATAAACAATTGTAGAAAGGTTTCACATATATGTATATGGCCTTTTTACTATGCGTTTCAAATATACGCATGACAAGGTGGCACACGAATCTCGGAATACGTTTTATTTACCTCTATCGAATACTTCATCCAAATACAACGTTCTTTTTATCAATTGTATATTAATTTATTTGCGAGATTAATTTGTTAATTAAATTTTTTAATTTGTAAAATCTATTTATTATATTATAAAATTTAATAGACATATTTTTAAAGAAACTTTAAGATTCAAAAAATATTTGTATGAAGTTATCTTGTTATAAATTTGAGACATCCAACATATACATGTGATATGGAATATAAAAAGTACTTTTTTATTTATTTAATATCTACAAATATGAGTTTAATGTGAAAAATCCGCATGCTTAAAGCAGCTTAAGCATTGTAAGATAAAATGATGAGGAAGCAATGTGCAAGTTTTTAATTTGCACAACTCTACTTGTTTTTATATTTCATTTGTATTTGTTATTATCAATTTGTAAAAAGTACTAACTAGCTACTGTCAGAGAATATTGTTAGAAGTCCAAAAATTCTTTAACTGATAGCCAATCGGCATACTGGACAAACTCATCGCGCATGAAGAATCAGCCTTAAGTATTCTAGTGTCTAGTATATGATTTTAAAATGGCGTATCGATCAAACGTTAGGTTATATTTGCCGTTAAATATTTTGTGAAACGACACTTCGCGAAACGGTAGATCAAAATAAAATGAAAATCGATACATGAAGAACAGAAAATTTATTATTTTAAATATAAGCATGCATTTCTTAATTCGTCATTTGTAATATATTTTCAGCTCGATTCTTGTCAAGATGAAAAAAGGTTAGGTCTTTATTGTTTTATATTTTGCACATAAAAAAATAAACGTATCGGCCAAATCTATCATTTAAAATATGCATTGCAGACTTGAGAAGAAAATAATAGGCGAATAGCTTTATTTTGATAGAGCAGAGGAAATTATCGTAGCAGCTAAATTCTCAATCAAAAATGTTCAAAAATACTTTCCAAAGTGGATTCTTATCCATCTTGTACAGCATTGGTAGCAAACCGCTGCAAATCTGGGATAAAAAAGTGAGAAACGGACATATTAAGAGGATCACTGACAATGACATCCAGAGCCTCGTTCTAGAAATACTGGGTAGCAACGTTAGTACAACGTATATTACATGTCCTGCAGATCCAAGAAAAACTTTGGGTATAAAGTTACCTTTCTTGGTGATGATCATTAAAAATCTGAAGAAATATTTCACGTTCGAAGTTCAGGTAAGCTCTTATTATATCGACTAGTTTGTAAGAGATTAGAGAATTTATTCTTGAACTGTTCAATCGTTTTCTCGATATAAAACAAAAATATTTATATGTTACAGATAATTGATGATAAGAACGTACGTCGTAGATTCCGCGCTAGCAACTATCAATCTACGACGAGGGTAAAACCATTTATCTGTACTATGCCTATGAGATTGGATGATGGATGGAATCAAATACAGTTCAACTTGGCTGATTTTACACGCCGAGCTTATGGAACAAATTATGTAGAGACATTGAGGGTACAAATTCATGCTAATTGTAGGATACGACGAGTGTATTTCTCAGATCGATTGTATTCAGAGGATGAATTACCAGCAGAATTCAAATTATTCTTACCTATTCAAAATAAGGCAAAATGTTAGGAACTAGTGAAGAAATATGCGCTTTCAATAAAAGGAAAGTATTGTTCGCTTTTTCTCTTTAAAACTTATTTAAATTTATTACAGAATAAAACATTTCATATATTAATAATTGTCTTTATAAATCGACTGTCCTCGATTAATTTTGTTTTTATGTTCAAATAATTTGTTAACTATTTCCATGATTTATTAATTATCCTAGAAAAATTATAGGTTATGTCCTCTTTACTCATTTAGATGTATTTGTTTCCCTTATCCGTTCTTTTTATCGCGATTGTCAAAAATTCTAGCATAATAAATATTTTTGGTATGTAAAAGGATATTTATTTTCGAATTAGAACTTTGTTATAATAATAATAAAATGCAATAAATTGTATTTTTTAATTTTCTTAAATCTTTTATAGAGAGAGGAATATATAACTTTTTTAATCAAGTTATATTAAAATAGAATAATTTAATGTTTGTGTAATATTCATATTTTTTCAAATATGATTTTATTAATAATTATAGATGTTTTATTCGTTATTTGATTATTTCATTTATTCAGTTTATTACATTTTCTAATAATTATTATATAACTCAATTAAAAAAGCATTAAAGCTGATAAAATTATATGTAATCAGGCATCAGGTTATAACGGCATCTTTATCAGTATCAATTATGATAAAAATCACTATTATCATCATTTTATTACATTTTCCGGATTAACATTCCATGCGTCTCGGAAAAATTATTTTTTCTATCTATACATATCGAACTAATGAAAACGATATTGCAATTGTACAAAACAGAAAAATAATAAACGTCGATACGAATAATTAATGAAATAATGATTGTATGATTATACGAACGCAATATGATTAAGGGCGGGGCGGAAGAGACGGAGAATGGTAATCGGTAGACACACGCACACATAAACTCCGCGCGCGTATTAATTGCTAATTATTAAGTATTGATTTTTTTAAATGGGGACGCGTGGAGCGTAGCGTCAACTCCCCGTTCCTCCCCCGTTGGGACCAGAAAGGGGGAGGCTGCTCGTTCGCGTCAAGCGTATCCGCGGACTATTTTCCGCGGCGTGCAAAAACAGGGCGCGCGCGCGTAGTAACATCCGGCGCGACGCGAGAAATGGCGGGAAAACGCGTGAATCGCGAGGCGGACGTTACGGGTGTACGGCGCGTCCGCGAAATAGGAGAAAGCGCGCGTCGCGCGTCTGACAGAAGAGCGATCGGCGACGCGGAGACACGTGGTGTCGCGGCGCGGTATCGTGCGAACGCTTTCACCGCGAATGGAGACGAAAAAAAATTGACGAATTTGCCAAGATGGCGGACTAATTAAGAGTGCCGCGCGCCGATGCGTTTTATTCTTTGCGCGCCGCATGGCCGCGTTCTTGTAATCGATGTAATAATATGGGATTTTCGGATGCCAGCGGCGACGGCGGCGACGGCGGCGGCGTTGACAGCGACGACGCCATAGATACACACACAACGCCGCGCGCGGAGAGCGCTGCGCGTGGCGTGGCGTGGCGTGGCGTGGCGTCGCGCCGCGACGCGGAGCGCCGGCGGAATCCATAAATAAAACAATTGGTTATATACATATGTTTTTCAAATCGACGAATGCTATTATATATTTTGTATTGAGCACTCGGGGGGAGACGGACGGACGGACGCACGCCGACGCCCGACGACTATCGCGGAGAGCGCGCGTCTGTTTTTATAAAGAGGCACGAGACGTCTCGCGTCGCGTCGCGTCGCGCCGTGCCGCGCGGCTTATAATCTCGCCCAATCCGCGGCTCCACTCATATAAAGTATACGGCGGAACAAAAAAAGAGGGAAAATCGTTATAGAATAATCAGCGAGCCGTCGCTCGTTCGTTCGTTCGTTCGTTCGTTCGTTCGCCCGCTTTCGGTCGCCGCCGGGAGACACACGCGCTTCTTCTCGGTCGCGCACCGTCGTCGCTCCTCGCAACCGAGGATGCGTCGTCGTTGTCCGGGTACACGAAAATACCGCGTCGCGGGACGATTCAACGCGTCTTACTAGCCGTCGTTAATTCTCGCCAAACGATATAGAAAAAGAAAAAAAAGATCATCTCTCGTCAAGTCGGCGTGCGTGCCTGTCATTATTATACGCGTTTCTGTCGAAAGGATTATCGTAAAGAAAAAGTCTTCCAGTCGTGGACCGAGAAAAAAATTCCTTCTCCCTCCCCCTGGCGCGTTATCTTTTTTATCATTTATTTCCTCGCCTCTCTCTCTCTCTCTCTCTCTCTCTCTCTCTTCCGTCTGATTCTCTTCCTGCCTTTTTGCTCCCGTTTTTGAAATATGGGTACAGCGGCACACGATCTCGAGCAGCAGCGCGATCGGCGAGCGGACCGATCGGCGACGCAGTTAATAATATATTATTATTAATATATAACATTTGCAGAAAGATAAAATATTTAGATTTATAAATATTAGATTTATAAGATATTTATAAATATTTAGATCATAAAACATGCAAATAATTTTGCAGTAATAGTTGCTTGTAATTTTTCAAATTTCCTCGCCTCTCTCTCTCTCTCTCTCTCTCTCTCTCTCTTCCGTCTGATTCTCTTCCTGCCTTTTTGCTCCCGTTTTTGAAATATGGGTACAGCGGCACACGATCTCGAGCAGCAGCGCGATCGGCGAGCGGACCGATCGGCGACGCAGTGCCGGATTTGTGCGGCCGACATCGCCCTCGACGACGACGGGATGCACATTTTCGCCGAGGACGGCCGCCGTCATTATCTGCAGACCAAGATACGAAAATATCTGCATATCCTGGTAAGTCACAAAAGCGCGTTTTTCGCGCGGCGCGCATTTTTTTCGCTTCCCTCCCCCCTTTCCTCTCCTCTTTTTTTTTTCAAAATTCGTCTCCCTCTACACGCGGCGTGTGTACGTCTCTCTCCGTCTGTATATCTGTGCCTCTCTGTCACAATCACGTGCCGGTCGCGATAAATTTCGGCCGAATTTCGATTTTCGAAATTTTCCTCGCGCCGATCGCGGAAGCGGCGATTTCGGGAGATTATCGAGGACAAGATCGGTCGATGAATATACATAGTGATGATGATTTCAATGTTGATGTAGAAGATCGTTGATGCGTACGCCGATCTTTGGCGATCGCGCGATGAAATTATTTCTATTTGCTATAATAATTCCTTGAACTCGGATGCAATTATAATGCGATAAATCCGAGATGAAGGTATTATAATTCTCGAGCCGATCGTCTCATTAATTTCCTTTCGTTTTGCGATTAATGATTTCCCGAATCGCGGGTAAATCGACTCGTTCGTCTAAAAATAACGACGACATTTTCGGACTTTAATATATGCTTATAAGGTGCGCAGTGACGTGTCAATTACGCTTCGCGAAAATGTACGGCCAAAAATTATAATTATACCGGTCCTTCAGTCTTAATGACTCGAGGAAATGTCAATGAGCTTATCGTATATCGGAAAATATAATGCGATAAACATGGGTGATCGAATGTGCCAAATACGTCTGTCGAGCGCGACCATTTTGTGCAGAGCTACAAAAGTGTTAAAAATTAGCATTTTATTGATTGCAATAAGTATACCGTGTTCTGTATATGTGTGTGCGCGCTATATAAGTATACTACATCTATAAATATAATCGGAAATGAGGGGCGCGCGTCGGGGGAGCGGCGTCGGGCGAAATAAATTACGGAAAATACGTCAATCAGATTCCATTGCGTAATAAAAAAATACAGCAGCTTTTTCTTTAAATAAGCGACAGATCTTCCTACTCGAACCGAAATTGTCGACGCTTGTAACAAGCCGGAAGCTAGGTTAATTGTATAGGATAAGATATAGAAAAAAATTACAATGCATTGTGTAAATAAACAAAATTAGAATAATAACGAAAAATAAAAAATAATGGAAATAATGATATGGTAATAATAATAAATTATTTTTAATAATAATATATTATTA